ATAAACTTCAGCTCATGCGTTACCGCCGATACAATCAGGGACCGCCGATACAATCGGGGGTAACGGTTCATGTCACCGTTGTATCGGGGGTCGAGTTTGACCAGACAGGCTCGAGATTCCAGAACCTTTCCAGATAATTTTTTTCCACTGTAACGGAGTCTCATCGAGGTTAATATACCTCTCAGCTCTCAGACTATAATAATTGTAATACTACGGAATGAACAAATATTCTCAAATGAGGAATTACCTCATTATTATAATACACTATATGTTCTTGATATTCATATATGGACCTAATTAGTATCAGTCTGCCTTTCAACTCACTACACGGCGCCAGGGGTCTGTGTGAACGACTTGAAAACCGCGAAACGATTCTCCATAAGAAATGCATAAGAACATTATTTTGCGAGTTTGAAGAGGTAATGATGAACAAAACACGAAAATATCACTTTTACGACTATTGTTTTTTATGAAAATAATTGATCATCATCATGGGTACTTTCCAGGCACGAACTACTACCTATAGTCTTACTAACCCAATTTCACATCTGATATTTGTTTACTTTTGGAAAAATGGATTTTCATATTTCCAGAGGGGAAGTATTGATACCTACTTCATGTATTTGATACATCATTGTTACAATATATGATGATCATGACTGCTCATTGTATTGAGAAATATTTGTAAATGGATCCAGAGTTCCTAACAGATATTGATATAATATCATTATCAAAAATATCCTGGTTGAAGGATGGTTTGAATGGACTGATGGAATGCTGGTATATGGTCAAGGTACCTACCTAATTGAACACATCTCTGATGAATGTAATGAAAATGGAATCAATGAGTGACAGAGAGCATTGATCATGTCATTGATACCACTATACCACTATTCAAGATTCACACATCATTGGCTGTGGATAATGTGAAGTTGGATGTTTCTTTTCGACTGTCTTCAAAACTGATGATGTTCAATTCCAGCCAAGAAATCAAAATGATCGTTAGAATCCACACACTATGCTTCACATGTTTACTCACATAATATTCCAGCAAGTTCATGCCATTATTAACAATAAACACTACTAGTCTTCAAAATCAGCCACCAGATAAAGATTGAAATTTTGATTCTTAATTCACATTGAACTATAAAATAGGTGAGCCTTCATCCTTATTACCAATAAAATGTGAAGTGAATCACACTATGTCATTCATAGTTATACTTTATCGAACAATAATAAATTACACCTACACCTGGTCGAATTGGATGAAGAAGAAATAAATGAGAAATATGTGAATGAATGAAAAACAACATTATGATTATGTTGTACGAGTTTTCATCGAATACGGGATATACCAAAACATTATACTTGAAGGCTCACTGATGTAATGTAATAGTTTTCGAGGAGCTTTTCTGATATAGACGAGATTCCCAGTACGCTCATTATCTCAGTTTCAAGGTTATGCACAAACATGATCTTTTAAATAGGAATATCTGGAGCTCACTGTCAATGGTTGGATGATCATCCAAGCTAATTATTTTTTTGAGGGCAAAACTCAATGTAAATCAGAAAAAAGGATTGAAAAAATATAAATAGGAATATACATGAACTAGCAACACTACTCTACCTTTCAGCAGAAAAAGCAGTAAAAGTCACAAAGTCTGTCGACCAGGAGAATATTTTTTTTTATTAAGTAGTGTAACTAGTTTCGGCCACAGGCCATCATTAGAAACAGAAATGATATATTCGGAAGTACCTCAGCAATACATATTGAGAGCAACAATTCATATGAAATCATCAGCCTAGGTGAACTTTCACAAAATCAGTCTTGAATTCAAAATCATTTTCACTTGTACATAGCTCATCGCCATTTCCATTACATCAATTCAAATCAATTGCGTCCATGTTCCAATCCTTATATAGTAATATGATACACGTCTAAAAAAAGCACAACCGAATGGCGAACGAGTTTGATTTTTATGGTCCGATTATATTCAGAATTGGTTCGTTGGGGCTTTTGTTGACGAGTATTTTTATAATTATAAGCTTTTAACGTACCATTGAAGATTAAGACATTTTTATATGAAATCTTTAGTAATAATCATTGACATCATAAACGTACCAAAACCTACAAAACCTTTATTACTCATGATACATTAGTTACCATGATTTGATAAGTTAGTTACGAAAGCATAATACCAAATAATATAAGAACTAGTTTTCATAAACATGTAATATTTTGACATTTTCCTATATTTCATGGATACTCCTTTGCCTTTAGCGTCCACGATCATAGGTATGTATCCTCTGAAGCATGAGTAATGACCGAGCAAGCACTTTCGATTTCGTGCGGTTCCTCAGTGCTCAATCCACAGCCAGAAACATCGCCGATTCCAATTTTGCGAGCAATGGACACTTTTTTGGTCACACTTTCTTCCAAATACCCTATAGCAACCTTCGCCGATTCCCATCCACCAAGTTCTTGAAAGTCTAATATATCTCCTCCAGCATTAACAAGAAGGTTTGCCGAACATCTTGTAACGCAGTGACCAGTATACATATTATGGTTTTCAAGTGAGAGATACTCAGCTATTTTTGAGGAATTTCAGAGAATCAATGAATGCCGCAGGGCTGTACCGTACATAGCGAAAATCCGTTCCTTGTGGGTTTTTGAGTCGGGAATAGGAGCGATCAGCTTGTCCTCTGAAACGTCGCTGTATCGTCTGCGTACAGTGCTGTGCTCGTCCGCTCGAATACAGGGAAATCGTGCGTATATAGTTTGTATAGTAGAGGTGAGAGGCAAGATCCCTGCGGAACACCTGCCTCGAGTGGAAAATCTCCCGATATACTTTCGTTTACCTTGACCCAGATTTTCCTGTTGGTGATATATGCATCGATAATTTCAATGATAAAAATTGGCACTCTTGCCTTGTGCAGCTTGGCCAATAAACGTTTATGCCAGACGGTGTCAAAGGCCTTTTCTATGTCCATCATGACCAGAACGGTGTTTTCATCGTTGTTGCTGGCCTCCTTAACCTCATGAACAATTCGGGCCACTTGGGACACAGTGCTGTGTCCCTCGCGGAACCCGAACTGTTCACTGGGAGAAACTGAATATTAAAAATATCTACCAGCTTTGATTGTAATAACCATTATAAAGAAATCTTCAATTCCTGATCATTTTATTATTACAACAGTATTCTCTCCATTCTGTAATTATAAAAGTCGCTTTCCTAAACCATTTGTAATACCCTTGAATGGACATTTGCTACCATCATAACGCAGGTGTGTTATGACATGAATATTTTATAAATTCTAGTCTATTTAGATTTTTTATTGACATAGCTCGTTTTGCGAATTATGGTAATTGGTGAATTCAGATGATATTTGTCCCAATAATCAAAGCTGTTTCGATTTCTAGCATTGTACGTTGACGAATAACTGTAGCAATTCACATGTATGACGGTTATTGGACAATCATTCAACAATCGTAATTCGGCTCATTTCGTTCTAGTTTTTCATTAGTTTTGGGTCTGACAAAGCTACAGATCGCGTTCATTTTCACTTCTGTTCTCGTCCATGGGTGTGCCCGCTGTGCCCGTGTTCAATTATTGTTCAATGGTTTCGATCGTCCGAATCGACAGAGCCGTGTCTAGTGTGTGATGTAGCAAAATTTTGTTTTTGTGCTGGCTGTAAACCGAGCTGTGAAATACACCGTGCATTGCATTACTGCAATGAAGAAAGTATCCTCCATACCCACTTTTCACGGACTAAAATTGGTTTATTTCGAAAAACAAAATGATCGACGAGATTCTGAATTAAAATATCTGGGTTTCTGTGAGGGAAGTTTTATTGACAATTCTCATCAGAACTCCAGAGGAAAAGTAAATATAAGTGAGTATTCAACTTCTCACCTCTTGATAAATTCGTCAGTATGCATATGGATGATATTTCTCCAAAATAATCAATGAGTAATGTCAATAAAACTTCCAGAGAATCCCAGATATTTCAATTCAGAGACTAATCGTATTTTTGTTTTTTGAAAAAAAAAAAAAACTCTGGATCATGAAAAGTTAGTGTGGATAGGATATTTATTTTCATTGCAGTAATTCGAAGCACGGTTTCACGATGCATACCATCGAACAATGTTGATCAGATTACCTAATTAACACTGTTTGATGAATATACTAGAGTAGAAAAATATTGGGATAACTGTTGAAAATGAAAATATAACCATAGCATGTTAAAATGTCGGGTTTGATTCAGATATCAGATAACTTTAATAAAATGAGACGAATTACTGCGTTACCTCAAGATGGTTGGGCCAGTAATGAAAACAGGCTGTTTTATGATGATAGTCGAATAACCACTGTAGAGTGGATTAGTTACTGCAACATTTATTCAGGAATAATTTCTATTCGACACTCTGTGTTATCATACAAACTAGAACAAGTAGAAGTTATTCGGCAGCGGTGTTTATACAAGTTTGCAAATTGAATATGCTGCGATAACTACAAGCCACCTTAAAATTCACTTCATCTATGGTTAGCAAATGAACACATCTGTCCCCTATTTATTGCAGATATCGTAATAACGGTTATCAGATTTCCAATTATGATAACTCAAGTTTTCTCTCAGTGTTCCTTTGGTATGAGGTCCAGCTTCTCGACCTCTTGAGATATTAGTCGTAAGAGGACTCTATCCACGATCTTGTCTACCGCGGTAGCCATTTGTGGATTTTAGGTTTTTGCCCTGTTTCGGGATGGGTACAACAAGCCCAGTTTTCAGGCATTCTGGGTAGTGCTGGCATCTTATGGTAGCGTTGATGACGTAGTGTAATTGCACTACTGCTCTGCGTGACATGTTTATTAGAAGAACGGCTAGTGCCCTACCTGAGCAGCTAGGGCGATGCCCAGGATGTGTCTGTCTCTTTGTAGTGCATATTCATTGAAGCTTGTCTTTGAAAAGGTGTCTTATGAAAGCTTGTTCTTTCGTTCCAGGCCGTCTTTCCAGAGAAGCGGACTTCCTGAACCGCAGCGCGGCTGCCCAGACGCAGCCAGCTTACGAGTTTTTCGGCAGCGACATACGTCACACGGCCGACGGCTATCCCGCCAGAAACGTCGACGGACGTCAGCAGGCTCCAGGGATAACGACCCCCTTAGAAGGGGAAGGCAAGGGAGATGTGCCAGAAAAGAAATCAGTAGGGTGCGGCCAGGACAATTGTTTCCAAAAAGTTTGTACGTAGGAGGGTCAAGCATAGGGGACAAACAAGGTTTTGATGGAAAAATTTCCTTATGTTATGTGACAAAAAAATCCGATAATAAGTATGCATACCGGATTGGGGATATACCACCTCACCTTTGTTTTTCTAACTATATTCCTGAAATTTGTTACATCGAATATAATAACACATTTTGGGATTTATTTTTTCATATTTCAGTTTCCTATGGAAATAACATCAACTTCCGATGTTCAAATGGAACGCCCTGTATTTCATTCCATAATCGTTTAGAAATAATTACAACGAATTCAACAAAATTGGGGTTGATTAAATGGGAGACTTCGCTCCAAGTTGCCAACCTGAAAACCTTTACCAATAGACCAAACAATAACATTATGGAAGTTTTTTTTGCTCAGATAGCTCAATTTTGATGAAATCTGATTGTTGCAGTTTACTCAGCTCACGAATAGAAGTTATTCAGGAGAAAAATAAATTTTTGTGAAGTCCATTTCTGATAAGTTGAAGGATTATTTTTATGCACCTGCTTTAATTCTGAAATATGTCATTTCGTCGTAAATTTTATTACTTGTCACATTTTTGTTACATATTCAAGATTATTTCATTTATGGTTTGATTGTTGCAGTAGGAAGTAGGAATATATATCATTTGAGCGCTAAAATCGATCTAGACTTGACTAAGTGAAAATGTAATAATGAAGTTTCAACCTTCTGAAGTGGAAAAATAACCCAAGGAAGTGTCTGTGAGTGGATGAAACCATAACTGTTTGGAAATGAAGAAATCACAGTCGAAATCATAAATGGAAATACTAACATACCTATGTAATAATGGCCGTTTTTCAAGTAAAAAAATAACGATAGAGAAAAGAAAGCGCCCGATAATAGTAGACTGTTTTATTAGGATCAAAAGTGACACTTTGTTTGACAAGCGAATTTTGCATTTGCGAGGCGGATCGCTTAGCGAAGCCGAGCGAAAGCAAAATTTGCGAGTTGAACAAAGGTTGGAGCGAAGTCCCCTATTATTTGAAAAGATGACGAGAATATGTGCGATCGTAGTTTCCATAAGGTTCATGAGTGTGACAGAGAATGAAGTTTCCATATTGCGCCGTCACACCCTTTCAACTCATGGAAACTTCGAACGTTGATATCTTCGTAATTGAATGTAAAAACTTCACAAAGATTTCCACAAAACTCTCAAACACACGACATTTTTCGCTGACACAGTAGCTTCATCAGGTGATGAAATTCAACTCACCAATTCTGGAAATACTGACCAATTCTGTGATCGAATTAATGTTTTCTGAAAATGATCCAATCCGAATTCGAGGTTAGATAGGTGAAGATAGCACATAGAGAGAGAGAGGAGGATTGAAACCAACATGGAAGTGAAACACAACGGGTTACATGTGCATGTGTCAATCAAATTGAAACCGATCAAACTCGCTCAGATTTTGAATCGATGAAAAAGGTATAGGGAATTAATCAATAAAATCGTCGAACGAGAGGAAAGCAAGAAGCAGCCATCAGCTGATGACTGGCAGAAAGTAAGCTCGTCTTTGTTTCACTCGCATAGACAAATATAGGCCTGTTCATTTGTGTTCGATTTTTTTCTATGGCTTCCTCTCTTCACATCATGCCATGAACAGAGACAACTATGGAAACAAAATCAACTTCAGCAAGTTTAGCAAACTCAAACGAACAGACCTTTTATGTTACTTATTGCTCACTTTTATTATCGCATAGTGATTTTATTATTGAATTTTGATGACTCACGAATTCGATTACTTCAGTATTAAGATATTATTCCTTGGCAAACCGTCAAGAGATACTTCACATGTCTGAGATCTGAGGTTCTAGAAGATAATAATGTAGGTATCTCTAGGACTGACTGTATCATGAACCAATATGGAGCTTATGTCCTATCAATATTTTGGGCTACTGGAGGATAAAGAGATTCAGTTCAGTCAGTTGGGGGTAATAATGATTATTTCGAGTACATTTTGTTTCTATTGCTATATGAATTTATCATTGTTGACTGAGGAAGTTTTTTTCATCAACGCCTTGTCAACGCCTATAAACGGTGTCTATTTTCGATGTGAATGAAAAACAACACTTTTAAAAAACGTACCTAGTCTGTTCCCATTTCTCTACCCAGATATGTTATACAGAATGTATATCGCTGAATAAAGTGTAGTAAACATGAAGTCTTTGTATTATAATAGAATTCATCTAGTAGTGGGTGGTGGGTGATGGATGAAGCGTGAAGTTCGCTTCGTGGTGGAAGTACAGTTATCAGTAGTGAAATATCCCTAGGACATTGATAATTGACTATATGTACAGGGTGATTCATTAGAAATGGGAAATCTCTGAACTAAAGATTTTAAACACAAAAATGATGAGATTTAGCCCAATATGCCTGATGAGAATTTTGCTCGTTTAGGAGATACTGGGTGTTCAAGGGGGAGATTTTATTTCAAAATTTCACAATAACTTCGTTAGTTTCAACAGCATGATAATATAATCTTTCATTTCTAGGTTTTCTGACATGAGGAATATGAATTTGCAACTTATTTTGTGATTGCTCATGGAGAGCGCTAGTGGCACTTTGTAACTTCGATAATTTACATCATATCTTCTATGTCAATTCATTGATGATCAAGATAAGTGGAAAATCTGGAAGCTCGTTCAATTTCACATGAAAAATATACTCATTATCAAACTGTCTATATAGCTTCAACGGTTTTTGTGTCATTCGCTCTTGGAGGGCATTATTTTCCACATATTCTCATAATTTTATTTATCAAATTAAGAATGGAAATCTCTGAACTACAGATAGTAAACACCCAAATATGAAGATTCGGCTCAACATGCCCTATAAAAATATTGCTGGTTTGATAAATACAGGGTGATTAAGAAGAAGATTTTATTTCCAAATATCTTGTCCTCAACCACCCTCTATTTCTCAAACCAGCAATATTTTCAAGAGTCATGTGGCGCTAAATCTTTATATTTAGGTATCTACTTTCTATAGTCCAGGGTTTTCCAATCCTTAATTTGATAAATAATAGTTATTTGTTTAACTAGGCAGCAAAGTAGTAGTTTGACTGCCGAGGCTGAATTCAGCTAAGGCAGTCAATAATCTACTTTGCTGCCGAGTTGAACATATAATTTTTTCTCCGATTGATCATAATGATATAGGAGTATATTGTTATTGCAAATTATTACAATTCCTACAATCTCTTGATTTTTCCTGTAGTGTTCAATTAAAATGAAATTTGATGGAAATCGCAGTTGTCCATGATAATTATAGTTTGACAATTCATGAAAATTCTGACAGTTGTGCGAAAAAATATCGGTATATTTAAATTATTATAAAATGGACAGTGATAGCGACCTGGAAGTACTCACACCTCCAGAAATAAGGGAGGTATGGAGTTGAATTTGTTGCCGGAGAAGTCTTGAATGAAATATAAAGAAAATCATAAACGATTTATGGATTATTAATTTTGCTGATACATATCAATCAGCAAAGTAACCACTTTGCTGCCTGTCAGCAAAATTAATATTTGCTGCCAATCGGAGAAAAAATCATTAAAATGTTAAAATTGGAACATGAATCTCTTCAAGAGCGAATAACACAAAAACCGTTGAAGTTAGACTTGACTAGACTGATTGGGAGTACATTTTTCATGTGGAATTGAACGAGCTTTCAGATTTTCTACTTATTTTGATCATGAATGAATTGATATAGAATATATGATGTAAGTTATTGAAGTAACAGACTGCCACTATTGCCCTCTATGAGCAATCACAAAATAAATTGCACATTCATAGTTCTCATGTCAAAAAACCTAGAAATACGAGATGACATGCGTTCATGCTGTGAAAAATGACGAAGTTATTGTGGAACTTTGAAATAAAATCTTCCACTAGAACACCTTGTATCTCCTAAACCACAGCAACATTCTCTTCAGGCATATTGGGCTAAATCTCATTATTTTCGTGTATACTATCTTCTGTAGTTCAGAGATTTCCCATTCTTGATGAATCACCCTGTATCATTTTATGACAATCGAAAGCTGGTTCCCTGGTAACAGCACAACGCCGAAGGCTCAGGGCTGTTACCAAGCAACTAGCTTGAGAAAGTCGTCATAAAATTGTGAGACATTAAATTTGTCAATGTCCGAGGTATATTCGGCGGAAGATAATTTGAAGCTGTCAAAGTCGATCATGTTGTCATAGTGATTGATAATATTATACTGAATGCAGCTATCAAAATTTATTTTTCTACAAGCGTGCGTGATTCACCCTATACCCGCACGCAATTTAGTTTGGGAAGTGTCATTTTCCCGCAACAGTACGGGAACATTTTCCCACACTAGTGCGGGAAATTTTTTCCCGCACTAGTGCGGGAAAACAAAGATATGATATAATCGCTAGTAATATAAGTGGTTGGTGATGGAATATGAAAGTTCAAGATTGTTTGTTGCAGTATTAAGTATGTATGTTCAGAATCATCCATCAAACTGCACTATTTATTGTAAAAATTGAGAAATATTGAGAAATAAAAATGGATTATTATAAAAATCCCCCTATAGATTTGGATTGATCTGACGGAAAACGTCAATTTGTCATGCCAATCAAACCTCAAATAAGTTTGAAATTGCCGAAGTGACAGACACAGCGTTACTGTCATTTTCGATTCAGTGGAAATGCCACAATGTGGTCAAAAACTTCTAGCTATAGGGATTTGATACAGATGCGTTAATATCACCAAGGAAGTCTTGAGAAAGGTATGAGATGCTATTCACGCGTTTAATTGAATGGTGCAACAATAAAGAAATGAAAAAACCGAATGAAGAATAGGTATTTTTGGCTCATTCCATAGAAGTGTCTGGAACCTAGAGACCAAACTCCTAATGGGCCTGCTGGCTTCCGCAATGAACCAACATAATGCGTCAAACTGTAAGTTCACAATAGCTATTACTAATAATTAATAGATAGAGAATATAATATATCTCTTGTTAGTTGTTCCTATTCGCTTGAATAATTAATTGAACGAT